TCGATGCACATGCAAAAGACGTCAGATTTGCGTTTATCCCTTTAGGTTTGTGCGAAAAATAGACTTTAAAATACCTCAACGGACGTGTATCCTTTGTCATTATACAAAAAAATAAAAAATATTACAGTTCATATCACCATACCCTTCAAAAAACACAAAATACAAATTTTTTTTGAACATGACTAAAGGGATTGATGTAGTTTAGTCTATTTTTCGTACAAAGCTAAAGGGATAAATGGGTATTGACTATGGGTATGCTAATCTGAAGCTGGAAGAATACTGCATGATTTTTTGAAGTTTCCGAAGTTCCAGTCGTGCGCTAATTTTTAGATAAGGCCGACTTTCAGCCTGATGGTGCGTGGTGTAGCTGTACAGGGGGTAACGAGGGGCAATCGGCCTCTAACGACCACCCCCCCATCAGGAATCGTAAAGTCGGGAGAAAATCAAACATTGAAATTCAGTCGGACGTCGTACGGAGGTCGTAGGCAAATCTCTCAGCGGGAAAACAAGGATTCTTCTTCTTCTTCTTCCTCTCAGAGTAAAACCCAGCATCATGGCGGGGGGGCAATGAGTGAAATGGATTCTTTCTGTCAAACTGACAGACCGTAGTAGCCACGTTAGCTCAGCCATGTCTTTGTCCAAATACGTCGTCTCCTTTTCTTTTTAGGGCTTTCAGCACTAAATTGCCCAAATATCCAAGGCAGCGCGTTTCACTCTAGAGAGCTTCATGTTCCTCTGCTACTGGTTTGGCTTCCAGATAGACGAGTCTGAGTAGCGCCATCTCACTGCGGAGCTGAGTCCCACCTGGTTTTTAGACGCAGGTAGCAGGTAGATCGCATCAGAGCGTCATGCTGCGCAGACATTGTGAGCTGTGAACTCACACTGCTACAGCTCACACTTTACAACGAAAAACCGCAGGGTTTCATTTTACAGTATGAGCTGTAGTTGCATGCAACGATTGAAAAAATCGCACATGTACGCCCGGCTTAGGTCATGTACCAAAAAACTATTTAAGGTCAGATCACCATTTGCTAAAAAAACACCAAAATCATGCATAAAGCCTGTCTCTATTTCGCCAATCAGGGACTCACCTGCAGGCAGTCAGGACGCGTCGCTGCTTGTATAACTTCTTAGCTATCGTGTCTGTCGCTACCCGATCCGTCCCGGAAGCACGATCTGTCCTGCACATGCACCAACAGAATAACTTCCGGGTAGACGATACTTTGTCTTTCGTACTTTTTTATTCCTTTGTCTTTTTCTGGCAGAGAGTTCCTTTTTAATATTTTTGTATTTGCATATTCTAAAAATGAAAAAAAGCAAAACACTTAAATATCCTTTGGAACGTTGCTGTGACTGCTCTGAGCGTGTCCGATGATGACGTCACGCAGTACAAAGCAGAGAATGGAAACTGTATCCGTTACTTCCAGAAAACTCTTCAATATTTTCTGTACGATGTAGTTTAGCATTCTTTAATGTTTTAAGTATATAAATAAGTATTTTCTGTACCGTTATTTTTCGGCGATCCAGATCTTATTCTGTTTGAGCGTGCACAGGAAGTAGCGTGCTTCCTGGACGCATCGGGTAGCGACAGTGTCTGAGACCACTAAACGAGGGTAAACAAACCATGGCTAACAGCTAATGTTGCCATAGCGACATCCAGATATAGCGCATATGCTGAAGTCAATCCTCCTGCGTATCCTCCCATGGAAAAAACTGCTATGAATGGGGTTCAGAATAAGACTCATTTAGTGCCGGTTAATAGAATAATAATAATTTATATAGAAATCTCATCAATATAAATAAAAAAGAGGTTAGATAGAATAATCTGTAATTTCACTGAACTCCAATCCAAGACACACAGGATTCTGGGAGATGTAGGCAGGGGAAAGGGTTTAGCCTCTCAACCTCTCACAGCTAAGCTATGCTAGGTTAGCAGTAGGGGTGGCAAAGAAGTCATTAATCGACTCGAATCACGATTCACATGCCACAATGCGATTCTATCACGATGCATCATGATACTTGAAATATTGCGATGCATCGCGATATTTTCACTGAACACTGTAAGAAAAAGATGCAGCCCTTACCAGTGGCTGACTGGCTGGGTGTGATCTGGATCGTGTCTTTAATTGATTCATAACTGAAAGCAACTGAATTCATACATAGCTGTATTTATTGAAATGACTTTTGGAGGTGTTGCCATGACAACAAATACTGGACAGAAATATTACTATTAGTGGCGTGGACACACTGACAAAAAGATCTTAGGATTCATCAAACTTAAAATAACAAAATAAGGATAATCAGAGCCGTTTACCTGGCCTCAGTGGTCCTTTTAAACCAATGAAACGAAAACATTCAAATGTATATTTCCCCTTTTGCAAATGACGTGCATCATAGCAATTTCATTTTTACCTTCTTTGTGTTTAAAGCCAAAATGCATCCAAGCATCTGACTTGAAATGTGATGGAGCCGCGTGGCGAATTTTCTCAGTCTCCTCCATGTTTTATTATGACTCGTCGCAGTATCCCGCGGCCGGACATGCTTGTGACACAAAGCAGCGGGCGTCAACACATCCGCAGCGACATCTGCTGGACTGGAAGTTGTATTCCACTTGGTTTGGCTGATGTGCGCCAACCAATCATGTATTTAATTTGTTCATTTTTTTTTTTTTTTTTTAATAATCGAATCTTGAAGGCAAGAATGCAGTAGATCACAAAAATTAGAATTGCGATGCATCGCCATGACGATTATTTTGCACACCCTTAGTTAGCAGTAGGCTAGAGCTGTTTGGGCTACCATATAAATTCAAACCTTTTTCCTTGTTGTCTGTATTTTAAATCAATAAAAAAAAAGAATCCATTATTATTGATGGCGACTGTTAGGAAAGTCTTAATTCGTGAGCCATTTTTAAGGCATATCGCTAAGAAGGATCGTATATGTTTATAACCATGTTACCTTCATAAACCTGTGGATGTTAAGGTCCGTTTTTCTAGAAACATGAGAATCGACTCTAAGGCTACGTTCACACTGCAGCCTGAAGTGACCCAATATCGATTTTTTTGCCCATATGTGACCTGTATCAGATCTTTTTATGACAGTCTGAACGACACAGATCGGATTTTTTCAAATGCGACCCAGGCCACTTGGATATGTGGTCCTGAATCCGATACGTATCTGATCTTTTCAAATGCGACCTGTGTCTGTACGGCCAGGTCGCATTCATCCGACCTACACGTCATTGATACTTGACAAATGTTACTAAACGTTACTAATCTGCGTCCTACTAAGCGGAGGCAGGGAAAAACTAACAACCATGGCGGAAGATGGATTGTAGGTCTTTCTACCTTCAGGAAGTGAGTTCTGATTCCCCTGATGTCCAACTCTGTATTAGCGCTGTGCTTTCTTTCTACACTCGGTGTTTTCATGAGGTCCTTATTGGTCTTTTGATCCGCAGCGTGTCGGCAGCTCTTATCTCCCACTGTGAAACACACATTTAGGACCTGCACAGCCACTCTGCTCAAAGCGGCAGCAGAAGCAGCTCCCCGCTGAGCCCACCAAGTCGCACGCGCACGCACAAAAGAGGTTATTTTGAGGTCGCCTTGGAGGACACAATAGAGCGGCACGCCCACCCACACAAAGGCGTCCGCACGTGTCCGAAAGCCTGGCAGGAGTCTGCGAACATGAGCGTCTGTGTGTTTCAATGTGCGCAGTGTGACTAAAGGCTTTCAGAGGCACAATAAGACGTGTGCCTGTGTGGTGATTAATACCGGGACAAAAGAAGCGTGCCCGCTCTGTTGTTATCAGCTCACTGGAGACTCACAGGCCTGCCTACAGGTTTTTTTCAGAATGAAAAGAGAGAAATGAAAAGGTGAAAAAAAAAAGGTCTTCCTTTATCTGAACCATCATCCTGACCACATCTTTAGACAGCAAAGCTCTCCGTAGTGCTGTTAGGATGCAGCCCTTTGTCCTCCCTGGTTCCTCTGGCTTGTGTCAAGTTCCTCTTATTGATGATGAACGGTCTTCTAAGTCCGGCCTAGTTAAACCTTTATTTGGGATCACCTGCTCTCTAACGGGGATGTCTAGTTAGTAGGACGTTTTTCTGTAACCATATGCTGCTATAGGGTTATGCTGCCGGAGGACAGGGACCGCTTTTCTTCTCTCCGCCTTATTCTTCTTCTAGATTTAAACTTATACATTTTTAGACTTAGACAAAGTTTATTACCATTTTTTATACAAAATGATATTTGTACCATAAAGTTTGGCCGTATTGGTTAATGTGACTCATAACTTTACGTTCAGTGTTTCTGTTTCTGTTATTTTAGCTTAATTTGATCTGGTTCTGTTTAACAGCAACATCCTCCTGCAGGAGGCATCATTTGGTCTGATGTTCTCAACTATTTCCACCACAGATTATACAGTTGGGCCTGTTTTTCAGTGTTTATTGCTGTTTCTCTAACTTTTACTGTGAATCTTTAGTTCTTTTGACATGAGAACTGGCTCAGAGCTTGTTTAAACTGTGTCTGTCGTATAGAGTTTACAGTTAGCTTCTCTGACACATTCATGGATCAATGCTTCTATCTTTCCTTTTGTGTGTCTGCTTCTGTTCTTAAGTCAATAACCGGATGTAATCGGCTGCTTTTCCTCGGATAGAAACTTCTTAACCAGTCAGTTTGGATGATGGGATTGTCTCTGTAAGGAACCTTAACATGCTGCGAACTTTAGAAATAAACTACATTAAAAGGAGTTGAATATAAATGATCCACAAGTTTCATCTTTTATTCCACCACAATTGTAGGATATGAATACAGTAAATGAACTGCTTTATTCTTCCTATAAAGAATGTGCTATAAATAATCAATCAGCATGAAGCTCTCATTGACAGAAGGGAACCATCTGGAGTTTTAGGGTCATCAAGTTCACGCTCAGTTGTCCAGTTATCCAAGTGAATTACTGCCTTAAACCTTGTGTTTTTTAAAAACCATTTTCTGTTTGTCTTCCAGGCTGTCTGTCCAACCTTCCCCCGAATGCCAAGAAGATCTCCAACTCCTATGAGGAGCGTCGGAAGCAGGCCACCGCCATCGTCCTGCTGGGAGTCATTGGAGCCGAATTCGGCGCTGAAATCGAACCGCCTAAAGGCTCAGGCCGAGCCCGAGCTGGAGGACAGGCGCCCGAAGGCTTTGGACCCACCAGTGGAGGCTCCTCTAACTACTCGCTGGCGAGACACACATGTAAGAACAGAGAGGCGTCGTTTCTGAGCACCGTGGATTTTTCACGCATGTTTCTTCACTCATTTCTGTAGTTCAGTTAAAAGCTCTGCTGTAGGATTAAGGAGGTGATTTAACTTCTGCTCACCCATGTTGGTTTTAACTTATATTTTAAGACCTTCCTCGTATTCAGCTCTCTGTCTAAAGCCCCCTGGTGTTATTCTAAAGGTCTTAGAAATTAAAAGTTAAGTGTCACTATCAGACACTTAACTCTACAGATACTTTTTTTTTATTTTATCCCCCAAGCTTCTGAAAAACTCAAACTTTCAGTTGACCGAACTCCATCTGTTTATGGTTGGACCTAAAAGGCTTGGTCTGGATGTAGATGGTTGTCATGGAGACTTTGTGGATTAATTTAACCTCCCTTAGGTGGATAATCCTAACCTGACTCCTCCAGATGGATTTGCTCCGCATATCCATCTGGAAACCTTCCGTTGAAGTAATTTTGGGAAGGGGCGAAAATCCTGGTTAGCTGATTGGCCTATGTTGGTGATAGACGGGCCAAATAAACCAATCAGATCAACGAAGCATATGACGTACTAACAGAGCGACGACGAAGAGGAGCCAATTGATAGATCAAACTCTTGGTGAAACCAGTCGGGAGAAGAGCAAAAACATCTTTTCCTCTGAGAAAAGCCTCCAGAGCAGTGTTTTGCTCTTCTTTCAGTGAAGAAATACTCTGTAATTCCCATAAAACTTGCTCGATAGCCACGCTAACGCTAGTTTCATCGGCTGAAGCCGCCATGCTCTTTAGACTGAACTGTCGCGCTTCTCGTTGCGTCACACCTCAACCCGCCTCAAAGCCAACGCTGATTGGACGTTCGTTTGGTGAACGGCTCCAAATTTTCTTCAACGGAGAGTCTCCAGACTGATTAGCGAGTGAAACCTTGAAAGCTCGCGAGATCAGGATGGTCTCACGAGGCTAGGATAATCCAGGTCCAGAGATTAAATCCTCAGCCGTTTCTCACTATGTGTTCTTGTGCGTCCTCGTGTCACGTCATCATCCTCAGCCCTAGCACTGTTCCAATTCACTAGAACAGCAGAGCGAGAACGAACAAAGTCCCCGGATGTTGTTCTGGCCCCTCCCTCTTTACCCAGCATGCATCAGAGCAGACTTATCCGTTCTCCCAGCATGCACTGCGGCAGCAGCAGCTTCCAGGTTAGCGCTCACAGAGGTCAGAGGATTAAGTTAAAAGTTCTCTTTTCTGTTGCTGTTGTTCAATAAAAGTACGTTTTCAGATCATTTGAGGCGAGAAGATTATACTTTATGCTAAACTATATGGAACATTTATTTATTTAGTGCGTCATAAAAAAAAAAAAGAATTCCGAAGTTGAGAGGACCGGGGCAACCACCGGAGCTCCGGAGCTAACGGCGGCCATGGCTAACGTTAGCCCGTCTGCAGCAGCCAGGGCTAACGTTAGCCCGTCTGCAGCAGCCAGGGCTAACGTTAGCCCGTCTGCAGCAGCCAGGGCTAACGTTAGCCCGTCTGCAGCAGCCAGGGCTAACGTTAGCCCGTCTGCAGCATCCAGGGCTAACGTTAGCCCGTCTGCAGCAGCCATGGCTAACGTTAGCCCGTCTGCAGCAGCCAGGGCTAACGTTAGCCCGTCTGCAGCAGCCCTCTCTCTGCATAGCCGTGTGTGAAGGACCGCTGGCTCTGATGGAGGTTTGATTGTTTTTTTTTTTTTGACAAAATATTTATTTAATTTGTGTTTATCTGACTGTGTTCATTATTATTCCTCCACTAAATGAAAAAAGTCATAATTTATTATTATCTAGAGACTATTAATAACAGGAGGTGAAATGCAGCTCCAGACGAGCTTTGAATGTGGTAATGTCATCAGTACGCTGCTGTTCGAGGAGACGAGTCGCGTTCTAGTGAATTGAGAAACGGCTCCTGTCTTGTTTTCCTTCTTCCTGTTCGTATAACCAGGTAATTAACCCCAGTCTGTGTTTGGAGGTGGACATGCAGGCGGTTGGAACTGATCCCTGTAGAGGCGTCTTACTCTCCGGTCCTGGTTATCCTCCTCTACCCGTATCATCCTCACTCATCCTGGAGGGTTTTATCTCGATCGTTTTCTGAACTCTGAAGATAAAGACACATTCTGTCATCTTCCTCCTGTTTAAACTGTAGCTAAAAGAAGTAGGCCTCTATGTTGCATCAAATGTGGATCTCAGGTAAACAGGAAGTCATGGATTAGTTCCCAGAGGTCTGATCAGCCTCAGACTGTGGTAGATGTGTGGAAACAGCTTCTCTTCTACTTTCTGTCTGAACTGGTATTTTAGCTCATGTTGATCATTCATCATCATCATCATCATCGATACTTGGATGGAAACAATGTTCGGGTTCGGCTGAGCGTTTTCTTCATGTCAGAATAGCTGCAGCCGTTACCGTTTTCTTCCAGAATAATTGTCTTTCCATCCCTGAACTCCACGGCCCTCAGAGCAGAAACTTCAGTGAAGCATTAGAGGTGAGGAGAGAGGAGGGATTGATTTTCACCCACCAAGCCTGACACCTTAAGGAGCTCGCACTGATTGGCCCAGCCCGCAGCACTGCACCTTGGTGGGCATCAAACCCGCACTAAGTTAGGCTTCTCTTCCATCCCACTGCCTCCGAGCTCTGATAGGCTGCCTCAGGGGGCGTCCGCCCGGCGACAGGGCCTGTGCTCGCACTGATAGGCTGTGGAGCGTGATGCCTCCTGGCTGGACCTGAGCTCAGCATCCAGCTCACCTGTGAGGAATCAATGAACACACACTTCATCAGGTGGAGATACCCCTGACAGTCAGAACCCAGGGATTACATGCTCCTAAACAGGGAATCATTTCCACCTTCTAACTCTCCCAGGAGTATCTGGGCCAGGATAGAGGTTTATTTTTAATACCAGAATAAAGTTATAACAATATGAGAAAATGTTGTAAATATGAAGCTGTAATATTATGAGAATAAAGTCACAACATTATCAGAATTAAGTCATAACATTATCTAACTATTGTAATATTATAAAATCATAATATTATGAGAATGAAGTCACAATAATGGGAGAATAAAGTTTTATGAGAAGAATAAAGTCATAATATGAGAAGAAAGTCCGAATGTTAGGAGAATAAAGTCATATGAGAATAAAGTTGAAACATAAGAACAATAAAGTCACAATTTGATGGGAATAAAGGCGCAACACTTTCAGAATAAAGTCATAATATTAGGAGAATAAAGTCAAAGTTTTGCTTATAAAGTCTTAACATTATAAGAATAAAGTCCTAACAATACAAGAATAAACTTGTATGTTCAACTTTATTCTCATAATATTGTGACTTTATAATCTCTCAGCATTATTTTCATGATGTTATGACTTTATTCTCATATCTAAGATCAAATATCTAGCCTGGCCCCTTTAAGGTGAGAGCTGTCTGACGAGCAGAAAGTAGCATAAGCTGCTCCGCTTAGTTTTATTTTTAAATTCTGAGGTTTCTCTCTGCTGGAAGTTTGACCCATCACCACCTAAACCTTTAAGGTAACAGAAGCTTTGCTTTGCACCATGACTTCTGTATTGCTGGACGGTAACTGAGGACTAAGCTGCTGCTTCATGCATTTTGTCAATTTGAACTTTTCTCTTATACATATTTTACATGTAAGTTTTGCGCTGCATTGATAGATTAGCATCCGGCCACCATAGAGCAATAAGTTCACATACCATCTGTAGGCAATAACTATACATGAATAACTGCAGCTGTTTGTAAAGTTTGGCTGCAGTGAAAACAGATCCAGATAAATTGGCAAAGGAAGGTTGGAAACGCTCAGTGACACAATCAGTGTTCAACTTTCTTTTATTAGGAGGAAATGGGAGAATCCCATCAACAGCATGTGGTCTGGATGAGCTGAAGCTCCCTAATGGGTCCAGCAGGGTCAGACCCTCCTCTTCCTCACTCATCCCTGTCCTGTTCCTAAAGGCAGTGTCGCTACCCGATCCGTACCGGTAGCACGATCCGTACCATCAGCTCATTTGCGCCTGCGCAAACAGAATAACTTCCGGGTCGCCAAAAAATAATGTAATTACGATACTGAAAAAACGTTATTTATATCCTTAAATAATTAAAGAATACTCCAAAAATGAGTCACGTTACTCGCTACAACACGCCCTAATTTTCTTACCTTTAACTTGAAAATGTGGAGACATCCTTTTTATTTTATAAAAACAAATTTTCGGGAAATGTTCCCTTATCAATGAAAAACTGCAGGTCACGAAAGGTAGCAAATGAATCCATTGTGGGATTAGTACTGCTGGAGTGCATCGTTAAGTACAGAGTAAATCAAATATTTAAACAAATTTAAATATATACGCTGTGTGACGTATATTTGCGCATGCTCAGAGCAGTCAAAGTAACTATCACAAGGCGATTGAACTTTTTTATTATATATTATTTCTGTTTTTTTATTTTTAGAAAATGCAATAATGACGAAAATACAAAGATGTACAAAAAGAAACCCATGCCTCTAAAAAATACAAAAGAATAAAAAAGTAAGAAAAAGGAAATATTGCCACCGGAAGTTATTCTGTTTGCGCACGCGCAAATGAGCTGATGGTACGGATCGGGTAATGACGGGCAGCATTCGTTCCCTGCCTCTTTCCCTTCACTGCTACTGGATTTTTTTTCTGTTGCCGCTGTTTTTTTCAAAGTTCCCTGGAGTCCATTAGCCTGACGTAGTCCTACTCAATTCTAGTCAGAATGAGTCTGATGCTGCTCCATAGAGCTGTGATTATGCGGCGTGTTTCGAACGAACCAGGAAAAAAAATGCCTCTGCACTCAATTGGATAGACCTACAACCAATAGGAGCAACGGAGTGCGTGACGTATGTTAAGCGACGCATAGTTGTTGTCAACAAAAATCAAAGCGTGCAGTTGCACGCCTAGAATAAGAAGATGAGCCTTGATTGCGTTTCTCTGTTCCTCTTTTAAAATTAATTTGC